ACACTGTCCCCAACCACGAAGGGTCTCGAAACTACCCTTCACTAGGGCCTACACCAAGTGAAATGTTACACTACACAAAGTAATGTAACTATCTTCAATATCTTGAGGTGTACCCTTTTCGCGAGCTTCGAAATCACTTGAGGCTTGACACCAAGGCTCGGGCTCTTCATCACAAACTCATCCTTGAGTTCTTGATGGGTCTGCTGCACACACCTGCGACACGCCGAACGTTCGACACAGGACAAAATAGAAACCGCGCACGACAAAATAGAAACCGCGCGCGAGACACAAACGACCGCGTAACACGCGTCTAGCGATAACTCGCTATTGACTCGACACACACACTCGACATCATGACTCAACATTCACACACAATTATAAGCATGAAATATATATTATCCCATGCCCTCATACCATTCCATACACACACACATTCACGCACACGGACAACAAGCCGAGTGCAAACCGTAGGGTTGCACCAACAAACTCCCCCTCGGATTGTTGGCCTTAGGATATGTTGCTCTCTCAGTTCAGAGCCATCCCAGCCAACTTGCAACACTTCCAATGCTGCTGCTCCACCAGCCTCTTGGTCATCATGTCAGCCGGCTGCCCCGTGGTCTTCACGTAGCGCAACTCAACTTCACCCGCGGTTACCATGCTCCTCGTCCAATGCCACTTCACCCTCATGTGCTTCGTGAGTCCATGCAACACAGGGTTCTTAGCAAGAGCAATGGCACCCTGGCTGTCACAGTACAGTGGGGTAGGTCCTTGCTGCTCCTCCCCCAATTCAGCCAACAAACGCCGCTGCCACACAATCTCCCGTACGGCACGGAAGAGTGCCATGTACTCGGACTCCACCGAGCTCAAAGCTTGGTCAACCTGCTTCTTGCTCTCCCAAGCAGTTGGGCCTCCACCAACACAGCATATGAAGCCTTGCACACTTGTCATGTCCTCTGGTTCTGATGCATATGAAGCATCCGAGTAGGCGGTGAGGAACAAACGCCCGGGTTCAACACCATCCGCGCCCTTTTGGCGCCTTTGTGCCGCCGCCGAGTATTGCAGCCCAACGGTCGGTGTTTGGGCAAGATACTTGGCCACCCTCATTCCAGCTGCTACCTGCTCCTCATTAGGGCATTACACAACCCTAGCCAGCTGCCCGGTAGCAAACGCGACGTCCGGTCGGGTGTTTACCGCCGCATACATGAGGCTGCCCACCAACGAGTGAAATCGGCGCCTCTCCTCTTCACCAACGCTCTCCTCCTCTGGTCCCTTCACACACTTGAACCCAGAGGGAAAGGGTGTAGCCACATGGCCTTCACTCTGCCCAAAGTTGGCAGCCAATGCCTCCAGGTACTTTCGTTGATGCACCCGCATGCACCGCTTCTCCACATCTCGTTCGATGTGGAGCCCAAGGTAGAAGCTCACGTCACCAAGGGCCTTGCACTTGAACTTGTCTTGAAGCTTCAGCATCACCTCCTTCACAAGGTCAGAAGAGGGTGAGAAAATGAGGATGTCATCCACATAAACCACCATGAAACTCCTCTGCTCCCCCTCGCCAAGCATGAACAAGGAGTGATCGGCCGTTGAGGGAGTGAAGCCAAACATGTGATTATCTATTCTAGAAGAGCGCGTTCCCGAAGGTTCGGATTATCTGTTGTTTCTATGTATTTCTGAGTATAAATACGCCTTGTACTCACCTTTAGTGCAATATTGTCGAGTGGAAATTCGATCCTGTGACACTTGGTATCAGAGCCGTTTTCACTCGCGGAGTTTCAGCTAAGCAGCGCGCTCAAGAAATTCCTGCTTCGAAAAACCGCCGGGGGCGACGAATTCGGCGCCGACGCTGATAAGCACCAGATTCCGCGTTTTTTGAATAACCCCCCTCGCGCGTTTTTTTAACAGGATCGTGAGTTCGATTGTTGGCGAAAACGTTTGCAATACAGGGACGACAATTGCGAATTGTCGGAACCTATATCGAGCGGTGCAGAAGTAGCGAGACCGACGCGCGACGGATCGAACGACTTCAGGTGAAAGCGCGCGTCATGGCGAAAATTGCGACAGAAGCAGAATCGATCGTGACTTCGCAGCTGTCGCGAAATTTTCCCAAGGCCCAAGAAATTCGAGCCCCCAACACCTTTGATGGGGAAATCGACGCTAGGCGCTGGCCATTGGATGGACAGCACCAGCATTCGACAGAAACAGAATTAATTTTGCAGCAACACTACTGCGCGGACCAGCAATTGAATGGATAAGCAGAAGCGGTTTACCATACGAGTTGGCTGACATGAAGAAGCAGATCGAGTACCTTCTGGACAAAGGACTCATTCGACCATCAACATCACCATACGGTGCACCAGTGCTTTTCACACCAAAACCTGACGGAAGCTTACGCATGTGCATCGACTACCGAGCCCTCAACAAGCAGACGATCAAGAACAAGTATCCGATTCCACGGATCGACGATCTACTTGGCCAGCTTCGTGGAGCCACAGTATTCTCAAAACTCGATTTCAGATCGGGATATTGGCAGATCCAGATGGCGGATAACTCCATCCATAAGACAGCGTTTCGGACACGATACGGATCCTACGAGTACCTCGTCATGCCGTTCGGACTCACCAACGCACCCGCTACATTCCAGGCCGAAATAAACCATATTCTTAGGCCTCTACTCGACGAATGCGTGGTGGTGTACATGGACGACATCCTGATCTACTCGAGGGACATGAAGCAGCACATCGAACACCTACGACGCGTCTTCGAGATACTTCGACGAGAGAAGTTCTACGTTAAGCTATCCAAGAGCGAGTTTGCCTTGAAGAAAGTTCAGTTCCTTGGACACATGGTGAGCGCTCAAGGAGAAAGAAGATCGAAGCCGTACGTACGTGGAAGACACCGGAGAACGTGAAGGAACTTCAGCAATTCCTTGGCTTTGCGAACTACTATAATCGGTTCGTGCCACAGTATGCGAAGATTGCAACACCTCTCACCAATCTACTGAAGAAGAATACACCGTTCAAGTGGGAGGATGTGCACCAGCAAGCCATGGAGCAGTTGAAGACCGCACTCACGTCCGCACCCGTCCTGATCCTGCCAGATCCAGAAAAAGACTACGTCATCGAAGCTGAGGCTAGCGACCAAGCAGTTGGAGCAGTCTTGATGCAAGACCAAGGGAAAGGACTACAACCAATCGCTTACCTCAGCAAGAAATTGCACGGGGCAGAACTCAACTACCCGATTCACGACAAAGAGGCCTTAGCGATCATCACCGCATTCAAGACATGGCGATGCTACCTCGAAGGGAGAAAGACCACGGTCTACACTGACCATTGCAGCCTGAAGTACCTAAAGACGCAGCCGACCCTCTCCAGAAGACAAGTCAGGTGGATTGACTTCCTCGAGACGCACTTCGACTACGACATCGTGTACAAGCCGGGACACAAGAATAAGGCAGACGCACTGAGCCGGCTTGGACACGTCGCCGCCATACAGATTGAGGGGATGAATCCGCTACTCAAGGGACTCTTCACGCACGGGTATACCATCGACCCCGAGATTCCCTTAGCAGAGAAAAAGAAATTGTTGCAGTGGGACCACGACGTCGCACTACGCAAAGTATCAACAAAGATATGGGTACCCAACTACCCGCCTCTTCGGCAGTTGCTTCTCGAAGAATTCCATGACGTGCTCTACGCTGGACACTTTGGGAGTAACAAGACTCTTGCCGGGATTGCGAAAGTCTACTACTGGCCTCACATGGCAAACGACGTGCAAAAGTTTGTCAATTCGTGCGACACGTGCCAGCGGATGAAAAGCAGTAAGCAGAAGAAAGCAGGACTTCTTCAGCCTTTACCCGTCCCGGAACAGCCTTGGCAAGTGGTCAGCTTGGATTTCATCACCGGTTTACCACCTACCAATGCGGGGCATGACGCCATCCTGGTCGTCATCGACAAATTCTCAAAGATGGGACACTTCATTCCGACACATACAACCGCACACACGGAGGAAACGGCACAGCTATTCCTCAAACACATCATCTCACAGCACGGGATCCCAACAACCCTCATATCCGACAGGGACCCCAAGTTTACTAGCAAGTTCTGGAAAGAGCTCATGTCGCTCATGGGGACACGCCTCGCAATGTCATCTGCATATCATCCCCAGACCGATGGGCAGACAGAGCGCTTGAACCAAATTGTGGAACAACTCTTGCGCGCAGCGTGCAAGGACGACATTAACAAGTGGGAGCTAGACTACGGGCTAGGCACGGGGTAGGAGGAATCTCTGCGTTCGTTCTTAGTCGTTCTCTAGCACTTGTGCGTTCACAGCGTAAAACCGCAAGAGTTTCACTAAGAAAAGTTGGCAACAATGGTACAATCAAGTTGGCAAGACAATACTATATCAGAGCTAGCATGCAAGCAGGTCGACTGCCAGCGCATCATGGTCGACCGCGTTCCAGCTCGACTTGGTCGACTGCGCTCTAGCTGTGCAAAGTTGCGGCTTGCCAACACTGCAAGTCGACGGCGTGCCAACGTTGCATCCGCAGAACAGCAGCGCACCTGCTTCGCAGGTGCTCGCAGATGATTGGCGCGCTGTGCCCTGTCACCTGCACAGCACACACACCAAATCAACCTGGCGCTGACGACTGCACTCTGAGCAGCCACGTCGACCTCGGGATACCACACCGAGGTCGGCCTCACCACTAACACCTGGGCGACTGTCGCGTGCCTCCATAGAACTTCGTCGCCCGGGTAACTTGGTCGATCGGGCAACCATCTCGTCGACCAACTTCTCCTTGTGCCCGTCGACCTCCCTAGTCGACGACCACCTTTAGTCGACCACACCAGGTCGATTTCACTCCTGGTCGATGTCCCGAAGTCGGCATCTTTCAACCTGGCGACATGCTGCTCGACGTCCCCCCTGTCGAGGTCGACGTCGGCCCCTCCTCCGTCGACCACCAGGTCGACCACCCCAAAGTCGGCACCCAGAAGTCGGCACTAATGCAGTGGCCCCCGCGCAGGTCGACCACCCTTGTTGACTGGCTCGCCCACTGCTGCAGGTCGGCTGCACTCCCCCGTACACCCGGCCACAAGGTCGGCACCGCCCAAGTGAGGACGAGGCCACACCCAACTCCTGTTGACAAGTCGGATACCCTTCGGCCGAGTGTTGATGACGATGTCGGAGTCACTAATGGTCGCCCGGTTTCATGTGATTGCGTGACAGGTTCGATGATATTCTCGGCAAGTATCGAGCGTACAAGAGCTCAGGCGATGCGCACCACGACGCGCTCTTGCCGGCGATCTGGTTCCCCGTCGATGCCGTCACAAAGGAAGGCAAGGAGAAGTCGGATGCTATGATGTCGGCCATGATAGGCCGCGTGTCCATGTGCGCTGCGTATGGGAAGGTCGCTGTGAGCGCGGCGAGGAAGGAAGGAGACACTGATGAGAAGACGGCGATGGTGGCACAGGCGTTATCGGCCTCCGCTTGCGCCGTGTGGTGCTTAGTCGAGAACGACGACGCCCAGGTGGTCGATGCTGTGGACGAAGGGAAGGCAGCGGCGATGGTGGTCCGTGCGAGCGAGAAGACCGCCGGTGTCTTCAAAGAGGTCATGCAGGCGGTGCTGGAGGCCGAGATCGACAGGGAGCGACCCCTCGGAGAGGTTGCGCACAACGCCACACCGGCGCTGCAGAGTCTCGCTCTGCACCGGGTCTATCCGGGGGTGGATCATGAAGTCGAAGCCGACGTGATCGCTAGAGCGACGGTGGAGACCTTGGCGTTCTGGGGAATGTGCCCCGTTGCCGGGCCGAAACTCGAAGAGATCGGCATCGCAGTGCCGTGTGACGCGCAGATGGAGTACGATATTGAATACAGGGGGAGGAAGGGACAGAGGGGCAAGCAGGGCAAGGACAGCACGGGGAAGAAGGGGAAGAAGGGAAGGAAGGGCAAGGACACCACGGCGGCATAGTTGGCGCGCGGAGGGAGCGCTAGGTGGTGTAATTGCTAGGGTGTATAACAGTTTGGTCTGGCCGGCGCCGATTATGTAGTTCTTTTGTTGGATCCTTTTTTTTTTTAGTGCTTGTAACTTTTTGTTTGTGTTTGCTTATGTGGTAGTGCATGTAACTTTTTGGTAGTGCATGAAACTAGAACCATGGTCGGCGATGTCGACCTGATCGCTACCCTCTGAATTGCACACTCACATGCTACTCGGGGATGAACCTTGTCGGCGTGTATGTCGGAGTCCGACAATACGTCGGCATCGTTTGGTGTCTGTCGACATAGAGGGTTTGGCTGTCTGCAAGTATATTTGGGTTGTTTGTTGGTCGGCGACCGACTGCAGTTACCATTGTTGGATCATCTAGGTTCGCATGGGCCCTGTTCTGTGCCTTAGGTTTGTCTTATTTACCAACTTCCTGAACAATATAAGCATCATGGTTTGGTAAAATCGACCACAATTACTGCATCATCAAACTACGCACACGCATATGCTCCAAAGGTATTCATGCCGCCTTCTTGCACTTCGTCGGAGGACGCAGCACAGGTGCGGTCTGCTTGGCCATGTTGGCCATGGTCTTTGGCATCTGATCCTCCCAGGTGTCTGGAAACAGGATGGCAACCCAAGCGCTCGGCTTCAAGTTGACCGCCACCAGCGCACAGGCGAGACAAAGCTTCGAGACCGACTTGGGGCCCAGCCCCTTCACGCCCATGCTAGGCTCCTTGGACTTCGTCGGTGCGGTTCCCGGTTCGAGCACCGTGAGGGCATCGCAGAAGGTCCCGATGCACGGCGCCACGATCTTGTTCAGGGCAGCGACGACGGCTTCGGTGTCGGCATCGCCGTCGCTCGAGCGAAGAAGGCGCACTGCATCCATGGCCTTCAGCATGTGGCGCACCTTCATGTCGTGTGCACCCTGCATCGCGCTTTTGAGGAGGGTGTGGCGGTCGACGAATCCCGGCTCGGCGACCCTGTCGCAAAGACAACGGGTGTCATCGGCGGTGGCAAAGTTCCAGAGGCGCCAAGCGTTCCTCACGGTCTTTGCCTCCCGCCAAGGTTGCACCACGTTGAGCTTGTAACGAGCCTCGTTGACCGTCTGTGGGGGTTTCGGGGGTTTCTCATCCCGTTTCTTGGCTCCGGCCCCCGTACTGGCCGAATCCGCGGAGCCACTCTCGCTCGGCGCTTGCTTGTTCCCCGACGGCGGCGCCGCCGGCATCCTCCGTGCGTCTGACACACGGAGTGCCTCGGTGAGACGGGTTATCTCGGCGGTCAGCATCGCGATGGTATCGTCGCGCTTCTTGATCTCCTCCTGAAGGTCAATCTTCTCGACTGCGGAGCGCTCCCTCTCGTACTTCAGCGTCTCCTTGAGGGACATGTATATGGTATTCGGTGTCCAAGCGGATGGAGATTTCCTGCGGCACAAGGCGGAAAGGCGAAAATAGTTTGGAATACACCCGTAACAGATCGACGCCGACTTTAGCGAGGGTTTAGCTCTGGCTGAATGAGGGTTGGGTCCCGGCGTTTCTTGATCGTTTCGGTGTCGATCTTCTCGACCCTTTTCGCCCAGTGCTGAAAGAGGGCAATCCGGCAGAGCTTGGAACCTTGGACGTACGAGTGCCAAGGGGTGCGGATGAGCTTCACCACGAGGTCCTCGGCGACGATGCGGCGCATCATCTGGAGGGTACACCAGAAGTGCATGGCGGCTTTGTCGGTGTCGCTCCCTTTGGCAGCACGCGTTTCCGCCTACATGTCGGCAAGTGATGTGGGTTAGTAAGGTGTTGGGCAGCCAACGAAGCTATGGCGACGTAAGGACATTGTCGGCGTCGACTAACATACATCGCGCAGCAAACCATCCACGCCAGGGAAGATGTGCTCGGCGATGATGTCCAAGAGTTTGTCGGAGGGCTCGACCCTGCTGCGACCCAAGAAGTAGTCTTGCTTGCAACCCGAGTAGCCGGCCTTCCTCATCACCACCCCAACGGGAATGGCTGTGATATAAGCACGCGTCATCTTGTCAAGTGCCCAGTGACCCAGCTCGGCGATCTCAGCGCGAGGCGTCCCTTCGATGGCTAGCTCATGCGCACCTCTGGCGCGAGCGGCATGCACGTTCCGCTTGTAGAACACCTTGTTGGTCGTCCACATTTGCTGCGTCCAACGTTGGTGGCAGGCGGCGGAGAGCTCTTTTTGCTCCTTGTTGTGGGCGAAGAAGAGATGCTTCTTGTACCAGCGCTCACGTTCGGTGGTGTCAAGCGGCAGAAGGAAGTCGACGCTGTTGAACTGACCGATCTGGTCGAGGATGAAGTGCAACCACAGGCCGGTCTCGCCGACGGCGCACAACTCCGCTTCCATGTGTCGCGCCGTGTAGCTCTGCTGAAGACGGGCATCCTTGGAAGTCTTCGAGTTCCGCGCGGCGATCACCATGACGACCGGCTGGTTCTCCGGGTTCACTGACGAGGTGCTAGCCAGTCGGTACAAGAAGATGTTGGGGAGCGTGAACTCGCGGATGCTGGCGCCTCGCAGGAGAGTGTGGTGGGAGAGTAGCGTGAGCGCCATGGTGAGCAGAAATCGCCACAGCGTCTGCGAAAGAGCGGTTGCCCACGGGTTCCACGCCGACGCCGCCCATGTCGGCAGCACCTTCATCATGATCTGGCGGAACTGTTCGGCGGTGTAGGTATCGCCGATGGTGCCGCGACGCCGGTCGGCACAATTCCTGTCCACAAAGCCACATATATTTTTAGTTTGACGGCGTCGACAAACTTACTTGACGTCCCTCTCGTTCTTGGTGCGGACCATGAACCGCACCTCCGATCTGACCACCAAGATCTCCCGCATGATGCTCAGCTCCTTCTCCCGGTTGAGCGTCGCCTCCAATCTCGCCGCCATCTTGCATGCCTTTATGCGCTCGAGGAGCGTGTGCACCGTTGTACCTTGCACAGGCTGGGTTCGCAAGGCATTGTTCCCCTCCTCGATCGACTTGGAATCGAGCATACACTCACTTATCATGAACTTCACGTAGGCACGCAGCCGGGTTTCGGTTACCCTAGGGCCGTGCAGCCAGATGTACTCCCGAGGGACCTTGGCCACTTTGTCCCAATTCTTCTTCTTGATGTCCCAGATGTAGTGGCCGATCTCTGTCAGAATGTTCAATTGGTTACTTTGTGTAGGCTATAGTGGGGTAGCCCATAAGGGGTACAATCCAATTAGGGTTAGTACTTGTACCCAACTTTTGCTCAATGCATTCATTCTCGTTCATTCTTCTGGCATGGTTTCAGAGCAGGTCCTTCGTTAGGACCGGTTTTTTTTTAGGGCCCACCACAGCGCTGGCCCACTAGCCGCCCTGCTGGCTCACGCGCCGCCCTCTGCAGCCCTCGTGCTGCACCTGCTGCCCCGCGCGCCGCCCTTTTGCGGCCCGCCCGTCGACCCTAGGCCTGGCCCGCTCGTCGACCCTAGGCCCCGCCCGTCCGTCGACCCTAGACCCCAGCCCGCCCGTCGCCCCTGCTGCCTTGCGCGCCCGTCGACCCTAGGCCCGGCCCGCCCGTCGACCATAGGCCCCGCCCGCCCGTCGACCCTAAGCCCCGGCCCGCCCGTCGTCCCTGCTGCCCCGCACGCCCGTCGACCCTAGGCCAGGCCCGCCCGTCGACCCTAGGCCGCACCCGCCCGTCGACCCTAGGCCCGGCCCGCCCGTCGACCCTAGGCCCCGGCCCGCCCGTCGCCCCTGCTGCCCCGCGCGGCCATCCACAGGCCCGGCCCGCCCATCGACCCTAAACCCCGCCCGCTCGCGGCCCGCTCGTCGCCCCTGCAGCCAGCGCGCCGCCCACTTGTGGCCCGCCCGCTGCCTTGCATCCCGCGCGCTGCCCGCTTGCGGCCCGCCCACCTCACCTACAGCCTGCGCGCCTGCAGCCCTGCGCCCTGCCCCTGCAGCTCGCGAACCGCCCCTGCAGCCCCGCGCACAGCCCCTGCAGCCCCGCGCCCTGCCCCTGCAGCTCGCGAACCGCCCCTGCAGCCATGCACGCCGCCCCTGCAACCCCTTGCAGCCCGCTCACCGCCCCTTGCGGCCCGCGCGCCGCCCCTTCCGGCCCTCTCGCCGCCCCTGCAGCCCTGCGCGCCGCCCCTTGCAGCCCGCATTTCGCCCCTGCAGCCCGCGAGCCGCCACTGCAGCCCCGCGCGCCACCCCTTGCGGCCCTCTCGCCGCCCCTGCAACCCCGCTTGCTGCCCCTCGCCCCCTAGCCGCCCCTTGCTGCCCGCTCGCCGCTTGCCTGCAGCCAGCTCGCCGCCCTCTTGCGCCCCTGGTACCTGCTAGCCACCCTCCCTTCCCTCCGTGCTGCCCTACTGGATGCGCGCCTCCTAGCTTGCCCGCTATGACTTCTCTTCGTCATAGCGGTGGGAGTGGTGACGGCGGTGGTGGCAGCAGTGGGAGTGGTGGCGGCCGTACTAGTAGTCGCTGTGGAGCTGTTCGGTGGGGATTTTCAGGCGGTGGCCAGCTACAGCTGCAGCGGCGTCAGCGCGAGTCCCTTGCAACCCAGCAGCTACGTGAGTGGTACACTAGTAGGAGCGGTGGCGGAGGCAGTTGTGACAGTCACTGTGCAGCTATTCATGTGAGAATAACAAACGAGAATGGATGAACTAGCAAACAGTTGGGTACAAGTACTAACCCTAATTGGGTTGTACCCCTTATGGGCTACCCCACTACAGCCTACACAAATGTATAAGCTATAATGTTCTCACACACCCCCATAGGCAAAGTGGGGGAGAACAAGTGGTCACAAGACCAGTGAAGAAAAGCAAAGCAAGCTCAGGGTGGATCACAAAGTCACCACACAGTCCGAGCACAAGCAAAGGGCCACAAGGCCAGTTCACATGCAGAGTTATATAAAGAGAACTAACAATACAGTGATCATACCCTAGCAATTGTAAGCATGCAGGTATATATAGAGATCACAGTACAAGCAGGGTCAAGCAGTGAGCAAGTGAGGCAGAGTGGGCACAAGGCCTAACACAGTAGCAAAGCGCTGATGATCACCAGGCGGAAGTGCCTTGGTGAAGACATCAGCTGTGTTGGCCCGAGTGGCCACGTACGCAAGACGAAGCTGGCCACACTGCTGCAACTCTCGAGCAAGGAAGTATCGCAGAGCGATGTGCTTCGTTCTGTGCTCCAGTCTGTGCTCCTGACACAAGGCAATCATGACCTTCTTGTCTACGTACAGGACTGGAGGCAAACGAGGCTGCTCTCCCAAGTCGGTCAGCAAGTAGGTGAGCCAGCGTAGCTCTTGAGCAGCCATGGCTCCGGCGTAGATCTCAGCCTCACAACTGGAGCTGAGAACCGAAGACGAGCGGGTAGACCGCCAAGAAACCGAGCCGGACGCAAGGCTGAAGGTGTAACCCTGTGACGAACGCTGCGTAGCTGAGTCGTCAACCCAGGAGGCGTCTGCGTGACCAGTGAGGACAACTGGACCCCGTCCTCCAAGCACAAGCCCCATGCCCGACGTACTGCACAGGTAACACAGTACCCTCTTCGCAGCATCCCAGTGCACCTTTCGTTGCCTAGCGAGAGCCACGTAGCGAGCCAGAAGGCTGAGAGGGTACGCGAGGTCAGGTCGTGTGCAAGTCATCAGGTACATGAGGCAACCCACAAGCTCTGGGTACGGACCACTCGGCTCTACGGACTCGTCCGAAGGTGGAGCTGAGAGCGAGTGGCTGGTAGACAGAGGAGTGAGCAGTAGCGAGGAGTACTGGAAGCCGAAGCGCTGAAGGACCTGGTGCACCATGTCTGACTGAGTCAGTGTGATGGTGCACCGTGCTCTGTCCCAAGTGATCTGCAAGCCAAGATAGCTGCGCAGTTCACCCAGGTCAGTGCAGGTGTGTCTCTTCTGCAGCTCAGACTTCACAAGGGCCAGTGCCTCAGTGTCAGCCGTGGCAAAGACGAGGTCGTCGACGTACACTAGGACGTAGAACGGCGGCAGTGAGGTGTCGGTGCGTAGAAACAGCGACGAGTCTGCTGTAGAAGGAGTAAACCCAAGAGCCGCAAGTGTAGTCCTCAGTGTGTCGTGCCACTCGTGAGGCGCCTGGCGGAGACCGTAGACTGGCCGCCGAAGACTCCACTGAGTACCTGCAGGAAAAGACTCAGTGAAACCAGGTGGGCAGCGCAACCAGATCTCCTCGTGCAGGCTGCCCTGCAGAAACGCTGTGCTGAAGTCCAGAGAGTGCAACTCGTAGTCACGCTGAGCAACGACGTGCAGCAACACCCGAAGAGTAGTCATCTTCGGGGTGGGGGAGAAGGTCTGGAAGTAGTCAACTCCCTGTCGCTGGCTGAAGCCTCGAGCAACGTAACGTTCCTTGAAGGTAGACGGAGAACCCGGCGGCCGCTTCACCCTGAAAATCCACATGCCATCGACTATGTTCGCCCCAGATGGGGGGACCTCGTCGACGTAGGTGCCTGTGGACTTCCAGGATGCCATCTCGGCATCCATAGATGCCCGCCACTAAGAGGAGTAAGGACCCGTAATCGCCTCTCCGTAAGAGCGCGGGGTCGGGATGTCTGGAGCATCCGGGTCTCCCTCAGGGGCAAGCAACATGGAAGCGAAACGAGGTACAGTAGTTGCAAGACACTCAAATTCCTCCTGCCTGTCCTCAAGGACGTCCGTGCCAAGAGCACACTCACCCCCGACAGACGGAGGACTGGCAGGCACAGACTAAGCAACTAGAGAGGAGGCGTAGTCGAGACGGCAGGCAGCAGCAAAGTCAAGCAGCTCAGCAACGAGGGCAGACGCAGAAGCAAAGTCAAAGGACGGGTCAGTGACAGCAGTGGCAAGGAGACGAGCGATAGTGGGACTGGCAGCACGCGCTCGGTCAAACTCAGGGTCAGGGACCTCAGGAAGAGAGGACTCAGGAGGAGCAGGCAGAGGAACACGCAGTGGAACAGAGGAAGGACGGAGTGCCATAGTGTGCGTGCCGGGGACAGGAGGAGGACGCGAACGAGGAGCGCGACGAGCAGTGCGAATAGGCGAGACAGGACGAGACGCAGGCTCACGACGCTCTGTAAGACCGCCGGGCTGCTCAGTGTAAGGAGAGGGAGCAGGCAGTGGGGAGGCTGGCTGTAACAGCGGCTGCGACTGGTTAGGCGGTGGACATGGGAAGGGAGGAGGAAGACCAGTAGACGGGACACCAAGAACCTGCTGAAGCAGGGGAACAAAGTACGGTCGCGGCCGCACAGTGTCAACAGCTCCAGCACCTCCAGCACAAGTGCCTCCAACTCCAGCTCTTGCAGCTCCAGCGCCTCCTGCACCAGGGCCCCCAACTCCAGCTACTCCAGCTCCAGCGCCTCCAACACCACCAGTCCCGACAGCTCCAGTAGAAACAGCAGCACCTCCAGCACCAGTGTCCCCAGACCCTCCAGCTCCGGGAGCTCCACTCCGACGAACAAGCCACTCACGCAGCTGCTGCGAGGACAGTCGCGGGGAAGCACTGGCAGGACCTCCAGACAAAGCAGCACCCCGAGGCTCAGCACCCCCAGACTCCGCACCCTTTGACTCAGCACCCCCAGGCTCAACACCCTCACGCTCAACACCCTCAGGCTCAGCACCCCCAGATCCAGCACCCTCAGACCCCGCACCCCCCGGCTCCACACCCCTCGACGCAGCACCCCC